TGAGCTTTGCAAATAATAGAAAGAACCCATGAAATTTGAAATCTTACCTTTTGCTATGCATGAATGAAAAGGGCAGCGAGAAGAGACCTAGTATATACTTGTTTCACATTCAATCCTTGTAATAATGATAGAAACTACCATTGAAGAGCAAGATATGAAACTAAAGAAAATTTCTATAGAACTTCAGTTCATGAATTACTCACAGCTGATTGAAGGTATGTAGGAGTAAACTTGACACCTTCCATAAAGATAGCCACAAGAGCCAATAAGAAAAAGGACATGACTCTTATAATTGAAAATAACGAAATGTTGTCAATTGAACCTGTTTCAAGACCAAAATCTTGTTACTTTACCACTCCAATGAGCAAAGATATAAATAGATCGATAAGATGTATTGGGTAAGCCAATGAGGACAACCAAACTTCACATTTCATATATTTACATAATTCTAGACATGGAAGTTGCTATCTATTTCAATATAATGCTTCCAAACTCAGACATCAAATACAAACATTACATTCCAAAAGGATATCAATTCCAAAAAGTTTAAGAGCCCGAAACGCACCTCGTAGATGCAATCACCAATATATGCTAATGATGCTGCATTGAACATGGATCAATGTTTCTGCACCTTAAGTGGATTTGGCAATCACTGCTCATATCCCAAATAAAGACTCTCCGGCTCCACTATTTTGCTTGTTAGTAAATACGATAGAAAAGGATTAACACATCTCAAATTCAAAGAAAAATACCTGAAAGTTGAAACAACAAAAATGACTTGCTTCCAAATGTCTCTAATGCGTTGCATGATATAAAAAGCCAAAGTTAGGAAAGTGAAAAAAATCAAGCTAAGCTATAGCAATTAAACTTTCTAAGCCAACCAACGGGCCTTTTCAGCTTACAGGTTTCGTGATTCAATTGCATCCATTTTTCAATAGCACAACCAATTTTGGAGTTCAATTATGATTTCCAAACACCAAAGAACATATTGCATAAACTACAATATGAAAACTTGAATTCTTCAAGACCCCTACTCTTTAGAATTATGTAAACACTACTACCATAGATGTTTTCAGATCCTTCACAACAAGATTTCAGAACACATCACCATCACATAGAATAATACAATTCTAATTTAATTAAAAATACTAGAGACGATTAAGAGGGCCATAATTCACTTCATAATACTCTAATCAAGCTAAAAAAGAGATTTAAGATGGTTGTTACCTACTGACCCTTACCAAAAGCTTGAGTTATCTTTGGATGAGTGCCGAAAGAAGTCGATCAATACAGATCTGAGGTCTTAGGAGCTCCAGCTTGCAAATCCGATTGGTTGGTGTCTGATCATTTGAGTTTTAACTACAATGTTTAGAATCATCGGAGGTTGCATCTTGTTGTGTGTGTTGCCCTAAACTCGTAGTTTGTATTTTGTAAAAACAAMTGTCTATTTAATAAAGTTTTATTCAATAAATTTGTTGTTGAATCATAGCTTTGCATCATCCAAAATCCAATAAACTAAACATCCAAGGTTATTTATGATGTAATCGGGACAGTATATATACTGGGTATATAGTTGATATACAGGGTATATATTTGATATACCTCTGATATATGAATGGATAATGTCCCGTGAATAACCTAAAGGGTCTATAGTATATGGACAAAGCTGGATACCTTATCCTGGCAACACTATGGATACGGCCCACTCTCTAAAAGTTATAGACGACTCGATCCAGGTCGTTTGTGTGGAGACATGCGAGTGGGGGTATCCTATACAATGAGTTTGTATAAGACCGGACCACGAAATAGGCAATCTTTAGATGTAACACCGTTAACTAATAGGTTGCTATTTCTTAGGATGACCATGCAACTCATTCTCAATCCTGAGTGAGTTATGGACTCCTGCCCGTGAAGGCTCGTCCTTTGATCTGTATGGGTGAGAGTGGCCCGAGTCGCCGACTCAACATTCCTACCATTTTGGGGACGAGACCGAGTGAGGAGCTGGGAACATAACTTCACAAGATGGAATTCACTCCTCCCCGA